ACCCAGACTGGTTACTTATGCAAATAACTGCGCTGTGTAATTAGGGTAAAGCATTTTGGTTAAATTGCCTTTCTACACCAAGAACTCTATCTTAGACCAACCTTTCTAAGTAAATTGAACCTGCTGGGTTTGAAAATTAGAATAAGGAGCACAAATGGGCACATTTCTTCAATCAGCTTTGCCTGGCTGCACTAGTCTCAGCTTAACTTGAAACAACAACTCGAAGAGGAAATCTCAGACACGGCCCCAAAGGCCACGGTGTCTCGACTTCCTGAGGGCAGAGTGACTGCAAAGCAGGGACAAGGCTCATCTCCGCAGAGTCCTGTCAGGTTCGGCCGCCTCAGCATCTAGAATTCTATCACAAGTCAGTGAAGAGTCGAAGCCTCTTTCCTTTGAACTCTTCACACAATATGTTTATGTATAAAGATTATGTCTCTCGGGTCAGCCCACAGCCTGGTGTTTAAGGGAGCTCGATCCCACATGACCGACTGAACAATTTGAGTCCAGACAAGGTAGCTTAAGAAACATGCCAAGCACATGCCCAAAATCCTGCAAGGAGGGAGAAATGGAGGAGAAGGGATGGCAGCGTGACTGTGCCCCATGGTGGAGGAAGGGGCGGTGCGCTCGCTCTCGCTCTCTCTCTCTCTCTCTCTCTCTCTCTCTCTCTCGGTCTCCAGCGAGCACACACACCTTCTGGCAAATACACACACACAAAAAGAGAGAGAGAGAGAAAGGGAAAAGACCGACTCAGTGACACACACGTCTTCCTCCCAGCAATTACACGGAAGGTAGACGGTTAGCGTCCTGGCAAGAGTGAGTACAGGAGCCCTGTGCCGACCTCACCAACACGTGCCTTTTCAGCCCACACTGGGATGGGCTGAACAATGGATTAATTTTTTTTTTAACTAATTGCCATTTTAAGTTGGGATATTTAGCTTATAAAACATAGGTTTATGGCTTGTTTTAAAAAATAGAAAAGGGCTGGCCCTGTAAATTAAGGGAGCCAGATCCCACATGGCTGAATGCAATTTAGAATCCCAGCCCTGGCAGCTTAAAAAGCATGTCAGGCTCACACGCGTGCCCAAAATTCCAACAGGATGGAGAAATACAGATGGAATTGTGGTGCGATTACTCCCCATTGAAGGTGCATTCTCCCTCTCTCTGCATCTTTCTGTCTCTCTGGTGAGCACACATGTCCTCTGGCAATTAAAAAGTACAAGAAGGAGCCAGCAGGTAGCATGGTGGTTAAGGTGCTGGACTCCCACATGATCTGCCGTGGTTCAAGTCCTGGACCTGGAAGCTTGCTTTCTCAACTTCTCTCTCTCTCTGGTGAATGCACATTGTCCTATAGCAAATTTTAAAATAATAATAATAAATGAAACTAAATAATTTTTTAAAAGAAAAAGGAAGCTCTTGGTATACCAGATGGACATTCTCATATGCATATAAAGTATGGATGAAGATGAAGTACTGGCCATTTCTTTAAATGGCGAGGTGCTCTCCAAGCCGCCGCCATCTCCACATGGCCCCCACCCCGCTCCTCAGCCTCCCTGTCTGGCCAGAATCCTGCAGTGGGTCACCTCTGTTCCTGAGGCCCTGCCGTTCTTTGTTACTATTATTAGTTATCATAATTGTGTTTATATTGCATTGAATCACGTATATCTTTACAGTGTATCACATTTCTTTTTCCAGAAGGAATACCATGCATGTCAGTCAAGACAAAGGCATTACTATCCACATCTTTTCGAACTCATAATCATTTTCTTTCTGTACAGATGAATAAACAGCTAAGATTGGTACTCAATACATTCTTCCAGATCTTTCCGAGAGAAGGTAGAGCTGCCCAAAACAGCTGCTGAGCCCACTCTCTGATGTTCCCTCACCAAAAGGAAAAAAAACGCCAACGCATTTGGGGGATGTTGTCATAGAATTTTAACACCCAAGAAATGTGAAATCCGTTCTCCTCTTCCTAGTTCTGGTCAGTTCTGTGTTGCCGTGCTGTGTAATTTGGAGGAAAAAATGTAAATGGGATGTAGATGAATTGGAAATGATTCAACTGAGAGTGACCAGAAACGATGGAGATGATTAAGGGGCTGCACACCTGATCTGTGAGGATGGGCTTATTGTGTGTGAGGGAGAGAGCGCCCGCGGTGGATTTACTCAGCTTATTACAGGGCACTGTGCGGATGGCGGTGACCAATGTTCTCCTGCTCTGCAGAGGACAGAGCAAATGGGAATGGCCTTAGCTAGAGCAGGGGAGAATTCTTTACCATGTATAATGGGACAATTAGGGTTGTCCCTTAGGAGCAGCATTCTGAGGTGGAAAAAGCACTCCTACCTATTCTCCTTGAGACAGGTTTTTCAAGGATAAACAGTCTACGGGAAATTTCATATTCTGTTCTGCCTGAAGGCAGGGGTTTGTGCCAGGTGACCTTTGGGGGCATTATCTATTCCTTTGAGTCTATAGAATTACAGGAGGTCTCGAATCTGATTTTAGTGAATTCAGAGGCAAGTACACATCCGCTCCTAGCCCTCAGAAGCTAAGCTGCAAGGACACACACAGTTTTTGCTATTGAGTTAACACCTGGAATCTCAGATATTCATGCAATCATTTCTTTTGTAGTCTGTGATTGCAAACTAACAGTTATTAGTTTGCTGAGGCCCTTAGAAATGGTAGGGCTTTTATGCTCAACGTGTATAATGCTTCTACAAGGGAAGTGTTTCCATGGATACATTTTATCAGAAACTTCACTACCCAAAATAAGAATATAGAAAAGCATATTCCCATGTGTCAGAAAAGGTAGGTCACTCATTTCCTCTGCTAGTGGATACCGAGCGCCTTTTATAAACCAGGACCTGCATTTTGTACCAAACATGCAAAGATGAGAAAGTCAGTCAAAGAGTAACTTGGGGGGTCAAGAAGATGATTCCGTCTAGACATGAAGCCTTATTATTAAAAGACAGTTTCCTGACAGTTGCGAGGAGGTTGCAGGGAGTCATGAAATGGAGGCATGAAGATATAAAATGCCGCCTACCATGAGATTCAATGGCCAGAAAACACCTGCTGCATCTGGTACCATCAGGAGCAAGAAGAGAGGAAACCGAGAAAGCAGCGATGGTAGAAAGGATCTGGAAGGATGCAGCCCTTCCTGACACAGCTGTGGGGTTGGAGGTAGGAGGGAAGCCTGCCTGTACTCAGCAGCTCCCCAGAGCTTGATGGAGACATGACCCGACCAGGAGGACACCAGTGGGCAGAGGAGATCACAAGTTTCACTTGGAGTTCCTCTTCCTCCACAGCCTCTTTGAAGGATGCAATCAGGCCATGCAGAGGCAAACAAGTACATAATACTATTTAATTGCCTACCAAAGTCATTGTGTCACAACAGGGCCTATGCCGCAAATTCATTTGATAGATGATAGATCATTCTATTAATATTTCATAGAGATGAACAAGCTTTCGAATACCAAGCTGAAAAGATACCGTAACAGAAAGCCATTCACACCTAAGCAGCCCCACTCCTTAGCCATACACGACCCCAGGTTGAAAAAGAACTTAAAGATTCATGATCAAATCTGCCACCCATTCCTGGAGGCAGTCCCACGCACCATCCTCTGAAGGCAGGATCCAACTAAGTGGCAAGAAGTTCACATTTAGGAAGAGCCGTGATTTTAAGAGAGCAATTTTTAAAAACAAGTTCTTCCTTACACTAGGCCAAAAAATGTCCTCCCTGAGACATTCAAGCCCTGGCCCAAGGTCTGCTCCTTGGGCCACTCGGTTCAGTTGTGCTTTCCTGCCTACAACGGTTTCGCATGGAGCAGTGTTACTCCAGCTCCCTACAGTTGCCCTGCCTGTATGTGGGGCAGTTTGCTCACATCTCTAAGGATGGTTCCTCACATTCCTAACCATAGGCACAGCTTTGGGGGCAGCCATGCCATATTTATTTGGAAATAAACTTACAGTATATTGCTGTTGCTCTTGTACAGTTGAAATTATTCACCACCTACTGCATGCCAGGGAGCCTCCCAACAAGACTCCATAGGCCCTCCTCCCCCGCGGCTCCTGGGCCCCCCAGCCAGCTATCCTGTCTCTGCACTTGCCTTACTTGCCCAGGGCATGTGGATCCTTTGATTCCCGCAGTGACTGGCACAGAGCTGTCGTTCAGTGTTTGTGGGTGAATTCGTTAACCAGGAAACTAACTTTTAGCTTCTATTGGGTTTGCAGTTAATGCAAATGGGAGCCCCATGAAGTCCGACCTGTTCTCTGCTCTACCCCCGGTGCCTACAGCTCCCGAGTCACCTACATGTGGGGCTAACAAAGGGTCACAACGCCCCCCTTCTATCCTGCATGCTGTCTACCCCACTCCCACCTGCACCCCAGCTCATGTCAGCGGTGCTCAGGGTTGGGAGCAAGTTCCCTGACTGGTCCTCACAGTGACCCCTCAGGCGCCTACTCGGGGGATCAGACTGTCCACAGCTGTCATGTGTGAACTCCATCCACAGTTCTGTCACCCTCATTAGGTTTTCATAGGTCATTTGGGTCTCTTCTCCCAACTTTTGAGACCCTTTAGGATCTTTCTTCAGGCCTTTAACTTATTAGGACCAGCCTCAGCGTGGGTGGGTTATCTCCACGGAGGCGCCAAAGGTGAACAGGAGACAAAGGCCTCGATGCCTTTTCATGCACGTCCTTTGCCGGACACCCCTCAAAGATCGCTCTCTGAGGAGTGACCACTGCTAGGAATCATCGTGCGTTTTTATTGAAAACATGTTACATGCAAGTAAAGGGAGAGGGGCTAGTGTTTCAATTAACAGCTCATAAAGTTTTTTAACAATAGAGAACATAGATTCTATTCAGGGTTGGATTAAGGGTGGGTCTAGTGCAATTCAGGGTTTGATTAAGGGCGGGTCTAGTGCAGTTCCGCAATTGTAGGTGGGTCTCCATGGAATGCAGTTTCGGGAAAGCGGTTCCAGTAAGCAGAGATGATTATCAGCTGATGCGGCGCAGCAGCCATCTTGTGATTACCGGGAATGGTGCTGAGAAAAGAAAATCTCAAGAATAGATATTAGTTCTTATGGATCTTAATAAAGAATGATACTTATACAGTTTTGT